TGTGTGTGTGCGTGTGTGTGCGTGTGTGTGCGTGTGTGTGCGTGTGTTTAAAAATAAGGAAGAGCACATGGCTCAGTGTATGGTGAGTGCATAAAAAATAATCTTAATAGCTTATTGAGTAAATTAGCATTTTTCAAAATGTTCATCCAATCAAATGTATTTTAATCATGATTTATGCTTATATATAATATTTCTGATAAAGTATATAACTTTGCACCTCATTCTTATACTTTTAATTACTTATTTGATCCAAAAAACCCTTATTTGATAAATTAGGTTAAGTTAGGCAGTTTATAAATATGATATAATATCCACTTATATATCATATGCTAATCTTACCCGAAAAGTTTGGAATCTCAAGGAAAAATTATAGTTGGAATGTTTGATATGGATTATTGCCTTCAAACATATCTCACAACATATAATCTATATTAACTTATGAGTTATGATCTTTCCCATTCAAAGAGGACCTAGAATTAGATCTAAGATCACAAAATCAGTTATGACATATCTCTAAAAAAGAGATATTATAGAGATATTATGTATTTATACCTTGACTACACTCAATAATGGTATAAATTAGATGGTCCTAATGTATGTAATCCTTTAATGTTTATATGATAATATCAATGAACACTATTACCCAAAGTATATTCATATTAGATTATCTTAATCTTGGTTTAAACCTTTTAGCAATTAGCACCCCATTACCAAATTTACTTGAGACATCTAAAAGGAGGCAATCCATGATTTTTATATATTATCTTTGGATTTTGTAGTATTGCATTCATTAATGGTAAACTAGGTTCACCCATATGATCCAAACTAACAAAATTATATAATTTTGATTACGATGATTATATAATTTTATTCATCCTCAAATAATCGTATTGTGGAATCTATATAGGATGATCATATACCTCTAAATAAATGTTAGCCATCACCATTTATAAACCTACCTTCTAGTCTTGAACCTATAATATCACTAAACTATATATATATATATAAAGCTTGCATTAATAAGAAATTATATTTTATAAGTTTAAAATAACTCTCATTCAACCTTATAAAGTGAATGGGGAAAATCTTTGAGACATCATCTTTATATGTATTAGAAAATCCATATTGTTATCACCTTCTCCCAAAATGCCATATAAGTAAAGAAGAAAGTCAATCCCAATCACGACCTTACGAGCACTTTCAAAACCCACAAAGATCCTTTGCCCACATCATTTGTCATCCTCTACAAGTTTTATTAACATCAATGACTAACTTGTAGATCCTACATTTGTATAATTAAATAAATCAGTGATATTGAATATAGTTTAATTACATATGATTTAAATCTTATCATAAATAAACCCAACTTAAGAATAGTAATAATATAGACTAAATATATATTAAACACACTATATAATATTAACTAAAGGATAACACTTGCACTAAAAGTGAACTATAGCAAATTTTCATTTTGATGTATTAAAAATATAATACAAACTAAATACACATAAAATAAAAAATAAAATTAGTTTATACTTTATGTTGTCTTTATGAAAGAAATAATTATGACATAAGATAATGTTTATGTAAATTTATTCAAATTCAAACACCTAAGTTTCTATTCATAAGGAAATAATTTATTTTAAGCTATTTTATTGGGATATTTGACTTTATCTGCTCTATAATAATAATAATAATAATAATAATAACAACAACAACAACAATAATAATAATATTTGTTATTATTTCTTATGAAAAAAAATTACTTTGAGTAAAAGTACGTCCTCTCACAATGGTAGAAGTTGAAGAACACATTGAATAATTAAATGACATTTTAATCATTAAAGCACCTCAATTTTTATCTTTACAACACCATCTCAATATCCAACGATTACAGAGCATGAGTGAAGGTCGTGTCAAAGTTTCATGATGATGAAAGATTTGATTAAATTATTCATATTGAAATCCCTAAATTCAAATTATACTTAAAAATCATAGTTTATATATGAACTTGCTAGAACCATATTTGTACCAACTTTAAATTATTTTTCTTTATCATGATCAATCATTTTTGTCAACCCCCCTTCAAACTCTCTTCAAACTGTAATTAAAGTATGATTGAGTCAAGACTGAATCATGATCATGTTCAAAGATTATGTTCAAAGTTGGTTTGACATTAATTTGATTAAGTTCAAAGATCTTCACTGAATATTTAACAATGGATTAATTATGTTTTGATTATAGTTCAAACATAATTTGATCATGATTTGAATCGGGTTTAAAGAGATTTATATATAATTGTTACAAAGATGTTTGATTATGATTCAAAGATAGTTTAAAGGTAGTTCAAAGAAAGTTTAGACATATTAGATCATGGTTAAATCACAATTTAAACATCATTTGATCATAGTTTAATCATGGTTCATTTTAATCTTTTCTTATTAACCTCGTTCACAATTATCACATTTGAGCTATTTTATTATCTTGCAAAAGAATACTCTAATTTTACATATTAAGAGGCATTATATTGCTCATGTTACATATAAATAGGGTGTTATGAAAAAAGATTGTTATATATATTGAGGCTAATGCGCTTCTTGATAAAGCTAATATAACCCTTTCAGTCCATTCTAGTTTTATATATTAAAACTTTCGAATGACTTTATATAACACTCATATACATATTTGAAAAGAAAGAAAAGTTTTGAAAGTCAGGTGTTAATGCAAAACTCATCTATTAATTAATAAATTAAAATAAAAATGTTTAGATTACATATGAGGTATTATGCCTACTGAAGTTTGAAAAATTGCAAGACTTCAACCACAATTGCATATCAATGTAAACCTTGTGGCCAAGGAGGGTATTCTGCAACAACTTCCTCATGGTACCTAAATAATTTAAGTTATTTAACAAAATATATGAAAATTTCTGCTCCTATTTCTGTAGAAGTGCAAGAGGGTCACCATAAATGAGCTCCACAAGTTTATAATAAGAGAAATTGTTAGAATTTAAAAAAAATTAAATAATTTACGTAGCACTTTCATATGTAATCTTATGATTATTTGAGACTTACATGCATCAATGATTAAGATACAACAAATACATCATATAACTATGTAAGAAAAAATCTTCTTGAGTTTGAACATGTTGACATGTAATTCTTCAAAGATAGTTCATATTAAGATTTATTTCATAAAAATACATATTCAAGGTCAATTTATTATTAAAATCTTTATATACATTTATTATTTCACTAATCTAATTTATTTTACACATAAATGCATTTATCATGTTATGAATGATATGATGTAGCTTCTGAATTACGCAATTGAATTGCATCATATGTTATGTGCTGTGTTACATCTCTTAAAAACACTCTGCAATATTACAATTTTTGTATTATATATCTTATCAATTGTTTTTATGATAGCACTCAATCTACTATACCAACTTTGTAATCTAATTTATTATAATTCATATTACTTATTTTTCTCTAAAATTCTACTAACCATAGCCCCTATTAGACTTGCATACAATACTTATATAATTCATATTATATATATATATATATATATATATATATATTCCCGATT